ACTCTCTGGTGATGCTGACGATTCTCCATGTACAGTCATTGAAGTCGACTCCCTGACTCCATTAAAACACTAAGTTAAACCTGTAAAATTTGGCATCGTTTGTTGTAGTTTTGGCTTTGATTTTTGTACACTTTCCACTCCAGGCCCGTCAATATTTTAGCCAGTCCAGTATATCACCCCTCGGTTTCCTCCTATGCTCACAGCATTTAATAATGTCTTTCGGTTACGGTGCAGACCACACGTTTTTCATTTCGCACATCTACGCGCAAGCGACGGCCTAGCAACGTTAACTAGTTTTCAACTTAATGCAAATTGGGCTCTTGATAAGCCTGCTCTTCGGCACTCGAAACCACGATTTGAAGTAGCTTACTGTTTCGTCCGCCGGTCATCTTTTTGTCGGCACGCAGTTCTGTCATTGTGGTATCCTATGTTTCTTGCGAGACCCCTCGGCTATGTACGCCCTGATTAAAGTTTTGTTTCAAGCGAAGTTCCGGCCACTAGCGTAGTCCTGCCTTGCACTACGGTTATACGTCGCAGGGTTTCCCTTGTCGCTTTCTTGAGTGGTAAACATTTCTCTGCATAGTCGTTTAACGTTGTTAGGCTCAGAGAATACTCGTGGGGTCCTTTTTATTTTGAAAGATGCAGTTGAATACATTTTCCAAAGTACTTCGGGTTACGTGGTTTCTTTTTCTATTTCAGTTAGTTTTTAATAATCTGAACAGTAACCGCAGAACACCAAATCGGTGTAACCAATCATGTTTTTATTCAGGCAGCGTCAAACTATTGTTGCATATATCCACGGATAGAAAACTTACCATCGGTCATCTGTCTGGTAAGTAATTAATTGAGATGTCATTCCGGGTTGCGTAGGTCGGACGTTTTACTTACTCATACGTATTGAAATTTAATACACTCGTTCTGTTTCTTCTTCAGACGCCGGTCTTTTTATCTGAAGTATTGTGCCGTTTGAATACAAATCTGTTACCGCTTTGTGCCAAAGGAATTGATTTAATACTGTCGCTGCAGTTCAAATGAAGATTCGCGGTATATCAGAAAAATAGAATCGTCATCTCAATCAAATCCAGCAAGAAGTTTTCTGTTCAGATCGTGTCCTGTGCGATTCTAAAGCCTGGTAAAGAGAAGAAGATGCGGCTTTTGCCAGAACGTTTTTTTGAAGATTGTTATCAGCATAAAGACCTGCCTGCTTTTCTGGCGGCTGCCGGCCCGGCGTGTCTGCGAGTAGTGAAACCGTTGTACTGATGGCTAGCTCACATACCATCAGTCGTGGGCCACCACCCGTACCATCATATCTCGTCCACATATAGACCACATATGAATACATTTCAACCTACGCGTCGCCAACCGTAACATCTCATTCCAGTAGCAAGCATGTGACCTGCTTCACAATAGCCAGTTTGGAAGGCGCAACATCGCGTGTCAGAACATGCACATTTTGCGTACGCGAGAAGCATGTTTTAAGTGTATCCTGGCACACAAAGTGTTGACCGAATTGTGTATAGCACGTAGACGGACTGTATAACCGTGTGAGCCACTTTGCTCAGTCCCACTACCGATACGAAGAGAGATTCGGACAGTCAAATGGGAGAGTGAGAAAAGCAAGTGAGAGGATCCATTCCCACGGGAATAAGTGCATTCCTCACTATAATAATTATGACGCACCTGGATCCATCACGACTCGTTAATATACGTGGCTGAAAAGTCGTCGACTAAGGGGATTATGTGGTCCTTATGGGGGTAGTTTGGAGTGAATGTAAAGCTGAGAGTCAGCTTGCAAAACTTCCTCATTGTAGGCCAGATAAAATTCTCACGGATGCTATCTGCTAACGCTCCTGATATACGTAGCGCAAAGTGGGTCGTGTGGCATGCGTAGCTTGGCTGCTTGACGTTGTCGGTTACTGCGTCCACGTCTACCTGCGTTCCTCTTAACACTGTCCTGCCATAGGCGCAAGGTGAGCTAGGGAAGGAAAGGTGCGATAGACACTACGTAAGTCTACCTTACGATGAACTAATTCTTATAGATGGTACGGCTATGATTGTGCCTGATCTTGCCTGCCCCATTGGTATCACATATTGTACCTCCACATGCGTTTCGATTTGCGGCAGCGGATCTGGAAAGCCCAACCAATTATCTTTTCCAGCGGTGGAGACCAATTACCGAAGGTCCAAGAACTGCTTCCCTGTCTAGACGAACTGTGTCTGTAACTAATTCATGCGCAGTTAATCGATACTGCGTTCGCTCCTTAGGACACGTTTTTGGTACTTGTGGCCGCTTCTTGTCGGCGAACTGTCATATTATGTCAGTAGGTGTAATGGTTAAGTCATCCCTTTGAAAGAAATGACTTGCTGGTCTACATGGGCTACGTGGGCGTATCGTCGATAAATAACCAGAGAGGTATGTCCACTCACTACCTTACGCGTCCGGAAGTGTTGAATAGTGGAGCAACCTCTAGTGTAAACTGGCTGTGAAATAAAAAAAAAACGTTTGCGGACTACGTTCGACCCTTCTTCAAGGGCGTTGATGGCAAGTTCATAGAATCTGTGAAGCTGAAAGGCAGAAATGTCCCCCACCGGCTGTCAACTACCACCAAATAGGCTATTTTATCACCTGTGCCTCTCGGTCAGCTTTTAATAAACTGGAGTCCTTCAGGAGATGATCCCAAAGAAGCAATCCGGTCGACTGTTAATGACCCGCCTTTGCTCAAACTTCCCCAAAACCACACGAGGCTGCCTTCATTCATTCTACAGTGTCCACGCCAAACTGGGCCCTTAGTCGAGAATAATGTCTTAGTTCTGGAAGTTAGACTAAGTGGGCGTTTCTACAACTGACCAATAGAAGTCTGACAGTTTGACGTTTTCACGTGTCTGTTGAAACCTATCAGATTCAAGACAAATTGACGTTTCACTTGTCACAGCAGTTAGTATATGCCTTGTGTGACAATCACCCTGTCAGATGGAGGCGAAATCAGCATTGGGTAAGTGAGAATCAGTCAGTCGGCTAGCATCCGTAGACCTAAAAACTACAAAATCTCTGTTATGTCCACCTATCCCTTCACATTAGCTGCCGACCACTGCGATGTAAATGCTTTCTGCATAAATTTACGAGAACCGATAAACGAAATGTCTGATCACGATCTGTTTACTATGGCCATCGACTGAAATAGATAGAGTAGGTTGGGCGATCCTCTGTACGTACACCCATTTACCCGTTTAAAACTTGGTTTTGAATATGACAACGATCAGAGCCGGCCGCCTTTCTTCAATATGTCTCCAACATG